ATTTAGGTTTTAATTTCAGGGGATTAAATTAGTGGAAAGAACAGATACATATTCATTTTCTAGTTCTGTTTTTACTAGCTGAATTCTATTGACCCAACAATATGTTTTCTCTTTTTTCCCTTCATTTTTGTTTTAATGGGGATTGAACACAAGGCCTCACACTTGCTAGGCAAGTACTGTAACACTTGAGCCATATCTTCAAATCTAATTGCTTTTTTGGGGGGGAGGCAGTCCTGGGTTGTTTTTTTTGGGGGGGGGTCCAGTCGTGGGGCCTGAAGGGCCTGGGCACTGTCCCTCAGCTCTTCAGCTCAAGGCTAGCGCTCTACCACTTGAACCACAGCACCACTTCCGGCTTTTTTCTTTTTGCTTATGTGGTGCTGAGGAATCGAACCCAGGGCCTCAGGCAAGCACGCTACCACTGAGCCACCTTCCCAGCCCAGTCCTGGGTTTTTAAACTCAGTATCTCAAACTTGTTTGGCCAGCAGTGTACCACTTGAACTACACTTCCAGCCCAACCTTTTGCTGGTTATTTTGGAGTTGGAGTCTAGCAAACTTTTCATGCCCAAATTGGCTTTGAATCATGATTCTCCAGATCTCAGCCTTCTGTGTAGTTAAGAGTATCCTACTGAGTAGCTTCCTGAGTAATGAGGTATGAGCCACTGGCATCTGGCCCTATTGCTTTACTTTCTTTTTTTCTTTGTTTCTTTGTTTGTTTCTTTCTTTCTTCCTCTCTCTCTCTCTTTTTTATTTTTTTGGTGTTGTTGGTCGTGGGGCTTGAACTCAGGGCCTGAGTGCTGTACCTGAGCTTTTTCACTCAAGGCTAGTGCTCTACCACTTTGAGCCACAGCCCTACTTCTGATTTTCTGGTGGTTAATTGGAGCTGTCTCCTGGCCTTTCCCGCCCCAGGCTGGCTTCAAACTATGATCCTCAAATCTTAGCCTCCTAAGTAGCCAGGATTACAGGCCTGAGCCACCCTTACCTGGCTTAGGTTTGTTTTTTAGATAGGGTCTTAAACTTTTGTCCAGACCAGCCTAGAACATTGATCCTCCTACCTTCCTTTCTCAGTAAGTGAGGGATTGTAGTTCTTGTAATACTACACTGGGCCTATAATACTCTCTCTGAATCTCAATTTTCTCATAATTCTAAAATAGTAAGGTTTATTCATCCATTCATTTAATATTCATTGAGTATGTACTATGCACTGGCATTATGCATAGGTTCTAGGCAGTGAGAAGCAGGTATAGTGGTGAGAACAAAGACAAAGTCCTGTTCTAGGCCTATGTCCCTACACCTGTGTTTCAGACAGATAGTAAACAAGCAAACAAAAATACTAGGTACAAAGTAGCCTAGCAAAAAGTGGGTGCTCTCTTACTACCTAGTGTTTCTATTTCACATTTTCTTTTTTCTTTTTTGTTGGTTGTGGGGCCTGAACTCTGGGCCTGGGTGCTGTCCCTCAGCTCTTCAGCTCAAGGCTAGCACTCTACCACTTGAGCCACAGCACCACTTTTGGCTTTTTCTGCTTATGTGGTGCTAAGGAATCAAACCCAGGACCTCATCCATGCAAGGCAAGCACTGTACCACTGAGCCACCTTCCAAGCCCCTATTTCACATTTTCTACCTAGAATGAATACTAAATTTTGATCATTTGTTCTGTACTACTCAAGCAAACAGTCTTTAGAATTCTTACTCCTCAGTGGCAAGGCAATGTGAGCATTTGTTGTCATCCTTTGACAAGAAATCCAGATATAGAGGGTTGGGAATTTGGTCTAGTGGTAGAGTGCTTGCCTAGCATGCATGAAGTCATGGGTTCAATTCCTCAGTACACATAAACAGAAAAAGTTGGAAGTGGCAGTCTGGCTTAAGTGATAAAGTGCTAGCCTTGAGCAAAAGAGACTCAGGGATGCCCAGGCTCTGAGTTCAAACCCCAGGGTTAGAAAAAAAAAAAGGAGAAGGAGAAAGAAGAAGAAAAAGAAATTCTGTTGTGGTAAAGAGCAGCAGAGAAAGGGGATTGGAAAAGGGTCATTTGACCTTTCCCTTTATCCTCAGACAAGGCACACCATTGCTTACATCTGCCTATAAAATTTTTTGTTGTTGTTGTTGGTTGTGGGGCTTGAACTCTGGGCCTGGGTACTGTTCCTCAGCTCTTCAGCTGAAGGTAAGAGCTCTACCACTTGAGCCACAGCACCACTTCTGGTTTTCTGGTCGTTAATTGGAGATAAGAGTCTCTAGACTTTTCTTGCCCAGGCTTGCTTTGAGCTGTGTTCCCCAGATCTCAGCCTCCTGAGTAGCTAGGATTACAGGTGTGAGCCACTAGTGCCTGGCTGCCTATAAACTTTTTAACCCTTAAGATATTACTTCAGTTGTTCTTTAAAGCAAAACTGAAAGTCCTTTTGTTTTTTTTAAAATTTATTTGCCAGTAATGGGGCTTGAACTCTGAGGTCCTGTGCTGGCTGGGCTTTTTCAGTCAGGGTTGGCACTCTACCATGCTTCCAGTTCATTATTTCGCTAGTTAATTGGAAATGTAGTACCATGGATTGATTGTCTGTTCTGCCCAAATTGGCTTTGAATCATGGCCTTCCAGGTCTCAGCATCCTGAGTAGCTAGAATTACAGATATGAGCCAACAGCACCAAGTTTCTTCATATTCTTATCCTATGTAGTAAGTAATCACAGGTAAAGCAAAGCCAAACCACCTCCCTGAATTCCCAGGATTCTTTTGTCTTTTCTTTTTTTTGGTCGCAGGGTTTGAACTTGGCCTGGGTGCTGACCCTCAGCAATTCAGCTCAAGGCTAGCGCTCTACCACTTGAGCCACAGCACCACTTCTGGCTTTTTTTTTCTTTTTGCCTATGTGGTGCTGAGGAATCGAACCCAGGGCCTCAAACATGCAAGGCAAGCGCTCTACTACTGAGCCACCTTCCCAGCCCCAAATATTACTTTTTTTTATTGGTCACAGGGCTTGAACTCTGGGCCTGGGCACTGTCCCTCAGCTCTTCAGCTCAAGGTGAGTGCTCCACCACTTTGGTAGAGCCACAGTGCCACTTTCAGTTTTCTGAGTGGTTTATTGGAGATAAGAGTCTCAGGGACTTTCTTGCCCAGACTGGCTTTGAACTGCAGTCCTCAGATCTCAGCCTCCTGAGTAGCTAGGATTATAGGTGTGAGCCAACGGCGCCTGGCTCAAATACTACTTTTGCTGACTAGAAATTTCAAATTTTCAAGCAAAGGTGAGAATTGATGTTTTAGCTGCCTCTATGAATTTGACAGTTTCCTAACAATTTTTTTATTTAATTAAAGTGATATTAACAAGTAACTTTATAATTGTTTAACAAATGTATCAGTCTTTGGAATATTACTGGACTCATTCTTTTCCAAATTATTTATAAATGGTATTACCAAATTATGCTTGGCTAGAAGAACAGATTAAAGCACAAGGTAGATCTGTGGATTTTTTTTTTTTAATCGGTCATGGGGCTTGAACTCTGGGCCTGGGTGCTGTCGCTCAGCTCTTCAGCTAAAGGCTAGCACTCTACCACTTGGGCCATAGCGCCACTTCCGGTTGGAGATAAGAGTTTCTCGGACTTTTCTTGCCGGGGCTGGCTTTGAACAGCAATCCTCAGAGCTCAGCCTCCTGAGTAGCTAGGATTACAGGCGTGAGCCACTGACGCCCGGCTAGATCATTGGATTTTAATGGAACAGAAGAAGAAAAGTTAATTGGTATAGTTTAAGCTTTTGTGTTATACAACTAACATTGAAGAAACTATTGTTTGCTAAATTTTTGTGTAATATCAAAGAAGTCACAATTATCTGATAAAGCTATTACACAATAGTTCCATTTTTTACAAATCTCTATCTGTTTGGGGCTATATTTTCTTCTTGTACAAAAAAGCATATAGCAGAGAGTCAGGCAGAGGAACTTCGCTATATTCTATTAAACCAAACATTACAGATTGACAAACATGAAAAATAATTTCATTTCTCAGTAAATTTATTTTTTTAATTCTTTGCTCTCAAAAGTGTGTTATTTGGCTGGGAAAGTGGCTCAGTGGTAGAGTGCTTGCCTTGCATGCATGAGGCCCTGGGTTCGATTCCTCAGCACCACATAAGCAGAAAAAGCCAGAAGTGGCGCTGTGGCTCAAGTGGTAGAGCAGTAGTCTTGATCTGAAGATCTGAGGGACAGTGCCCAGGCCCAGAGTTCAGGCCTCACAACTGACAAAAAAAGAAAAAAAAGTGTGTTATTTATGTGAACATGTAAGGGTTTAAATTTTTTTATTATAAAAGTTCACTTATTTACTTATCTAACTTATTTATCTTTTTGATTCTGGGACTTGAACCCAGGACTTTCTGCATGCTAAACAAATGTCTTAACACCAAGCTGTATTCACTGTTCATATTATTTTTTTATACATTAATATTTCTTTTCATTTTTAATATGGTATATAGTAATAGATATTGCTCACACAAAAATCTATTTAGGGTCTTCAATAATTGTTGGCTTCTGGAATCCTTTTGAAGGCCAACTGCCATTGTTAGAAACAAATAACGTGGCAGACACTACCAGGCTTTGTTTTCTGTAGCAGAGATGTTGGACTCTGAGTTGAGACTGTGGCCTAAGCCTCCATCCCTGGGGAACGGCATCACCTGGACTTTTGAGACTTTGTGCTCTGAGGCTTCACTGACCTGTCCTGAAACTTTCCCCTCTGAAAGAAATGTATCACTCTGTCTTGTGCTTTACTTATAGGGAGTGGAGCTTGCTCGATTTACACGCTGCTTCACCCCTGAGGATGTCATCGGAAAAGCTTCAGGCCCAGGGATGGGCACAGACATGAGCATGAACTTTATGAGGCAGATACTAGCTGATCAGAAATACTGCTTTAGGGATGAACCAATAGAGACTAAACTCATTATAACATCGACTTGCTCATTGTGCCAACGGGACTTGCAAGATGAGAGTTCTCGGCTGCTACCTTGCCAACATTTGCTCTGTAAGAACTGCTTCCATAGCTTAATACAGGACCTAGGACATGCTGCCAAGGTTGCTGGGACTGTCTTAGATGGTAAGTACAAAAGCGTAGGTTCCCTGCCTTCTGCAGAACAGGCTTCTCTCTGTTTCACAGGAACTGAGTTTCAGGTGTAGGCAGAATCAGAATTTAAATGCCCAAGGGACACTCATTTCTGAAAGCAACTCTGGGGAATCTGTGAGACAAAGCAAATCCTCTCGATGCCCAATATATCTGCTTTGTAAGCCAGGGACTTTTCATCTTTGGGATTTCCTTAAATTGGTGGCAGACTAAGAAATCTGTGAAGTTTTTTTTTGAGGTTTGGCTGACTCCCCAGATGGAAAAGATGTGTCCTACTACATTAAACCTTGAAATCAGAAAGCACAGCCGGCTGCCTAGTGTCGGTCATGAACAGATTTTCAAGAGAACCTTTCACTGTTTAAGTTGCTGCTTGACAGTGGGGAGCATGTGTCTTACTCCTGAATGTCAGGTTTCCTAGGAAACAATGGCATTGAGAACTGCAAAGTCCTTGGAGACAGGAAGCAGGTCCCTTCATTTCAGTATTCTAGCACATGGTATGAAATAGAAGTACAGTAAGTTATCTATTGAATGAAATTGTACAGGGAGAAAGTCAAGCAAGTGGCAACATTTAAAATATTTTGTTTATGCCTTGTAATATTTCCAAAGTGATTTGTACACAAATGTGGGTTTTCTTCAAGATACCGTGGCTTAGATCTGGATCTTGAACCCTCTGAACCTGTGACAAGCAACCTAACCTCTCTCAATCTTCTGAGATGGTGTACTTTGATTTCTAAAATAATGTATGATTTTTTAAACTTACATAGCCTTGTTCTTTGTTAAGCTTTATTTATTTTATTTTAGCTGGTTAAGACCTGGGTGCTGTCCCAAAGCTTCTTCTGCTCAAGGCTAGCACTCAACCACTTGAGCCACAACTCCACTTCTGGCTTTTTTTTTTTTTTTTGTAATTTATTGGAGGTAAGAGTCTCAGAGGAGGAGAGAAAGGGAAATAACAAAATGCTGAAATAAAGATACAGATTGATCCTTTGTAACAATGATATGCACAAGACACTATGTTGAAAACTAATTTTACAACTTGTGTGGGGGTGGCAGAGGGAGAGTTGTGGGAAAAACAAAAGTGGGGGTAACAATGCTCAGTAGGAAATGTACTCATTACTCTACTCATGTAACTGTAGTATCTTTACAATATATATATATATATATATATATATATATATATATATTTAAAAAGTCTCACAGACTTTCCTGGCTAGGCTGGCTTTGAATCATGATTCTCAGATCTCAGCCTCCTGAGTAGCTAGGATTATATAGGTGTGAACTTTATTTATTTATTTATTTTTTTGTCAGTCAGGGCCTGGGCGCTGTCTCTCAGCTCTTCAGCTTAAGGCTAGCACTCTACCACCTGAGCCATAGAGCCACTTCTAGCTTTTTCTGCTTATGTGGTGCTGAGGAATTGAACCCAGGGCTTCATGCATGCAAGCACTCTACTTTGAGCCACCTTTCCAGCCCCAGAATAGTAAGTTTTATAAGTTAAAAACAAAGCCTAATGGCCTGGTACCTGTGGCTCACAGCTATAATCCTTTCTACTCAGGAGGCTGAGATCTGAGGATCAAGGTTCCAAGCCAGCCAGGGCAGGAAAGTCCTTAAGACTCTTATCTCCAGTTAACCACCAAGAAGCTTGAAATGGAGCCATGGCTCAAATGGTATAGTGTTAGCCTTGAGCAAAAAAGCTCAGGAACAGAGCCTAATACCTGATTTCAAGCCCCAGGACAGGTGCAAAAAAACCCCTTAATATTCTAGTTATAAAAGTAGGAATCTAGCATGATTTAACAATGACTTTTAAAGGGTCTATAATTAGCCTTTAAACTTATTTATAAACAATATTTGCTTTTATAACTTAAATGTATTATAATTACTATCATTATAATTTTTCATTACTGGGGTAGAATTCAGGGCCTCACTCTTGCTAGGAAGGTGTTTTACTAATTCATCCATGCTCCAAACTCTTCCTACCTTTTTTCTTGTTTGTTTGTTTTTTTGGGTCCGGTCATGGGGCCTGAACTCTGGGCCTGGGCGCTGTCCCTCAGCTCTTCAGCTCAAGGCTAGCGCTCTACCACTTGAGCCACAGTACCACTTCCGGCTTTTTTCTTTTTGTTTATGTGGTGCTGAGGAATTGAACCCAGGGCCTCTGGCATGCAAGGCATGCGCTCTACCACTGAGCCACCTTCCCAGCCCCCCTACCTTTTTTCTTAAAGTAATCCACTTATCTGTAAATTTGGCATTTTTGATTACTTAAGGAGCTTTGGAAATACAGTAAATTTATAACTAAGGTGACTCTTAAACATGTCATAGCAGTTCCAGCACTGTTGGAATGATTCAAACTATGTATAAAGAACCACAAAGCCAGGCACAATAGCACATGTCTGTAGTTCCAATATTCAAGAGCCAGAGGCAGTAGGATTTCAGGCTCTGGTCTATACTGGACAACTTACCAAGACTATCTGGATGAAACAACAAAACTAACTCATATAATGTAATAATTACAAAACAAACTGATTCACAAAAGATCAAAAGGCTTAGGCATTTCTCCTAAGAAGGTACATGAATGGCCAATAAGCACATGAATAAATGTCTAGTAGCATCCCTATTAGAGAACTCTAAATCAAAACCACAAAAAGGTAATCACATTCATTGATAAACAAAACTCCCCAAATCCTCTAGAAAATAACAAGTGTTGGCAAAGATATAGAGAAATTGGAATCTTTGTGCATAGTTGCAGGTAATTTAAGTATAGCTGCTGTGAAAAAAATTTCAGTTCCTAAAAAAATAAAAAATAGAATTAATAGAACCATTCTTCTGGTTACATACCTAAAAGAAATTTTGAATAGGGACTTGAAGATATATCTGTATACCCATGTTCACATTTTTATTGCATTATTTGCAATAGACACAGGTTGGAAGCATCCCAGGTATCTATCACCAGATGGATAAACAAATGTGGTATGACCATACAATGGAATATTGTATGGAAGGAAATTCCGACATCTTGCAACGTGGATGAACCCTGAAGACATTGTGCTAAATGAAACAAAGCTGAATACAAAAACATACTATTTGGTTCCAGTTAAAGGAGGTACCTAGAGTAGTAATTCGTAGAGACTGGAAGTAGAATGGTGGTTGTTGGGAGCAGGGGAAAATAAGAAGTTGCTTGGAGTTAGATGAGAGTTTCAATTTTGCCCACTTTAAGGTGGGATCTTCTTTTATTATTGTTATACTCTGGTTATCCGTCCCTATCAGATATATGATTTGTAAATATTTCCTCTCATTCTGTGGGTTGCTGATTTATTTCATTGATGCATAAAACATTTTTCCTTTGTTGCCTATGCTTTGGGTATCATGGCCAAAAAAATCATTGCTTAAATTCAGTGTTTTAAGAGTTTTATAGTTTTAGCATTTAGGTCTTTAAAGTTTTTGTTTGTTTTTTTTTTTGTTTATTTTTGTGCTGGTCTTAGGGTTTGAACTCAGGGCCTGGGTTCTGTCCCTAAGCTGCTTTTGCTCACTTCTAGCATTCTACCACTTGAGTCACAGCTCCACTGCCAGCTAATGTAAGTGTTCTGAGTACATTTAAGGCAGGTTGGGCCAAGCTATGATGTTCATTAGGCTAAGTGTATTAAATGCATTTTCAATTTGTAATATTTTCAATTTACAATGGGATTATTGGGATAAAACATTGTCATAAGTGGAAGTGCTTCTTTATTTCCTTTTAGGCCTGATTGGAAACTATCCCAGGCCAAATTATATCCAAAAGTTGGCCTCTGAGTATACTAAAAAGATACTTTAAGTAAATTCAGCAAGCCCTGAAATGAGATAGCTTCTCTGAAACTGACATTTGCCATATACTGGTTTAGTCTTCAAGATTCTCAAGGTTCCTGTAGTTTTATTTTTTTAAATTAGGGCAGTTAATTGGATATTTCCTTCCTTGTGTGAGTAAAAAGAACATTTTTTTTCTCTTCAAAGAAACTAAATAACAAATTGTGCCTGGGAAGCTTTAATTCTCATATCAAAATTCTAAAATCTATATGCTTAAAATCTTTCCTAATTCTCAACGTGAGGGATGCAGTCAATATGTGGGAAGTGTCCTGGCTGAAAGTTACACCTCTGCAGCTCCTAGACCCTTGGCACTAACATACGAGGCAACCTCAGGTCCTCTCTTGACTTTGAAGTTGGACTCAGTGAGCATTTACAATACTAAATAACCTCCACAGGCAGCCCTGTGCTTCCTGAAGCTAGTTAAGGGTGACAGCATATTCCTTGTACACAGCTAATGCTGAAAGGGGGAGCAATCACTGGCCCTTGGTGGGCAGGCCTTGGGGGATTTGGGAAGATCCAAAGGAAAGGGAACTGATGCAAGATGCTACAACCTTGTAGTCAGAGAGGGAAATGACTCTTAATGAGCAGCTCAGCTGGAGGGGCTCTAATGGCCTTGGGTGAAAATAGGAAGCAGGGGATGAGATCTCAGTTACTGGAGCCTGTAAGGCAGATAATGGCTGTTCACTTGCTTATTCATTGTGCTAGACAGTATGTCCAACTTCTGTGAATGTGTGTGGGACCATTGCAGGCAGTGACCCAAACCTCCCAGGTAGCGGACAGGTTGTACTGCACAAGATTGAACTGGGTATGTGGCAGGTGCAGAAGCTGGAGTTCCAGAGTTCTGTCAGATTGGTGGCTTTCTAGTTCATGAACAGTTTCCTCACCTTAATTGGCTCTCTAGAGCCTTAGGAGTGGTGCTGGCACCTCTGAACAGTACTGGTTACTGGGAGAGCAATTCCCCTGGCAATGGGAAGGAGGCAGGTTGTGTTGGAGGGAGGTGGGGAGTACTTGATACCACCAATACTGTGTGGAAAACTATGGCTAGAACAGATTGGCTAAACAAGGGAATTCAAGGTGGCTATGATTAAGAGATGAGTATTGGAGGGGCTTCTTGTCCATGAAAGTCTGCCATTCAAGACGTCTCCCAT